ATTTTTAATTAAAATTAAATGAAGTATTTAGCAAATAAAGTTATAATTACAGTAAATGAAGAAATGCAAAATAATACTGAATTAAAAACATTTAATTTAAAATGAAAAACCGTTTGTGATACGCTTATTATTAAATATAGAAATGTTCTATGTATAATATCCTTACGTTTAAGATTTCTATTACATCTCTGTTGCTTCTTCAATTCCGCTGATGATCTTTCACCGTCTTTACGCATGTTCTCTAATTGAATATCTTTCACGTAAATGGTGTTTTTTAAATTAGCAATTGTCTCTGTTAAATCTTCTACCTTTTATAAATAAAACTTTTAAATTTTATATATGAATCGGTGATCATAAAAATGATCTAATTTAAATTTGTATTTATGTAATTAAATATAACAATTAAATTTAAGAAAAAATATTTAATACTTTATCTGTACTTTCGTTATTATATAAAAAATTAATTTTTTAAATATTTATGCGCAACTTCGACCACATTTATAATCACTGATTCGTATAATTCAAAAAAATATTCTACCAAACACTTTGATTTCATTTAAACTATACATAATATTTCTTTGACAACAGAATTGAACTCACTTGCCTACGAAGTGCTTTGGATTCATTCACATTAGCACTACATTCTGAATTTTCTGAAGATATTCGAGAGCCCGTAACATCAGATCCAAAAATTTCATTTAATTGAGTACTCTGCATATAATAGCTGTCAATTTAAACAGCTAGTTTCTACAATAATAATTCTTTATCAAAATGTTTTCTTTTTCGTTATTACAAAAGAATCTTGAATGCAGATTAACCAATTGATCTAAATTCATTTCAATTGGACTAACATAAAAAAGGGAAGATAAATTGAAACATCTATAAAAAAAGGTTACAAATTGATGCTCATAATATTAGACAAAAAATTGACGCTCGAAGGAAAAATACATTGTGTGTACGTGAATATCAGCATATGCAATTAAATTAAAAAATACATGAGAACAATAAACATAGAAATTATAATTTACTTCATTTATATCGTATAAAAATGTTTTATTTCATCTGTGATACACTGCTTTTTACAGAAACCGCTCATTTATTTTCAATCAGACACGCTTTTATAATAGTAAATTAAAAAAAGAAAAAGAAAAACACATGTTTAATTACGTAATTTATTTACATAGATGACAAAAAAATACAAAAAAAAGACTAATCGACGTGTTTTGTTAAGATCGATTTTTTTCATCTTCTAAATTGAAAATATGACAAAATGTTCTAATGTTCTATAAAATATTGCATAAAAAAGCATCTTATACAATATGAAGTTACATACTATCTCTTATTGGGGAGGTAGTACACGCTTGAATGAATAATTTTACTCAGTGCAATACTGATTAAAAGTTGTGAAATTTTTTATTGTGTATCGTATATGTACAAAATAGGTGTACAGACTACTATCAATCGCAAGGGCGTTTCAAACACCCAATCGCATATATACTTTTGCATATGATGATACTGATGTAAGAACATCATACACACAAACACACACAATGCTGTGTAGTACACCTGTAAATTCTCCTTCTATTATATCTTTCATCAAATGGAATGAATATCGAGGTGACGCGTGAATATGCTTTTTCCTTTAATTTTTTTTTTTTTATAATTCTCTCTCTGATGTTATTTTTCTTTATCTTCTTTAACAATTATTAATGACTGCGGTATAAGGGTTTCTTTTTTTTTCTTGAGTATTACCCTTTCTCCTCTCTTCATCCTGCTTCTTCCCCCCTCTATCTCTACTATCCCTCCCCATCTTGTACACACGAAAATAATAAATTACACTGTGGCTGGATAGAGTAGCTTTTGCAATTTCTTAAAAGACATACTATTTTTTTTCTGAATTGTATTACATGGCTACAATATAAGACAGTATGTAGATTTTTGTTTTGTTTATGATTTTTCTTTAACATCATTGGAAGTATTGTATTTGATGTGTGAACACGGTATCAGAGAAGACAGAAAGGAAATACAAATGCGTCTCTCGCTCTCTCTCTTACTCTTTTTTCCTCTTACTGCAAGTTCGTCTATGCTTTCCACAATTTTAACGAACAACAACTGGGCCAAGAATGACCGCGCATAATTTATTTTTAAAAAATCATTCTCTCCTTTTTTTCTATCTTTCTTTCTATCTTTCTTTCTTTCTTTCTCTCTATGATATCGTACAAAGCTCATCGTCATTAAAACTTCCGGATTCAAATAACAATTTTTGTTAAATATTTAGTTCGTATGTATCGAATAAGGAAAGAACATTATAAACGCATCCTATGTAACTTCAACATTATTAGAAACGAGATTACACGTAAAAAGGATTTTTGGCTTCAGACTACCTGTCTCAAAAGATCTAATATCCCTTAGCAGTTAAATTTCATAAAATTTTGTCAAAAAAATAATTTCTGATCAACAATAGATATTTTTTTCTTCTATATATCGCACACATACACAGTACAATCAAGCGTAAGGGATGTTTCTTCTTTAAGGCAAGTAGAGAAATAACGAAGATATATTTGTTATCGAAGTAAATGAAAAAAAAATGAGAATTATTATATAAAAAAAAAAAGGAAAGAAAAAGAAAAATATTTAATTTAAAATATTTATACATAAAATCAAAAGGGGAACAAAAGAAATAAAAATTAAAGAAAATTCGTTACTTAAGTAGTAATACTATGCTGTTAAATTAAAACTGTGTTATAGTTCGTTACAAGTGGACTAGTAGTAAAACGTGATACCATTTTTTCTGTGAAATACATGATACACTGTTATCTTATTGTACTTTATTGGTCCAGTTGTGTTTTAGAAACGTGGAACGCAACACGTGTCGTCTGATAATTTGATGAAACGATACAAGATTTCGCAGAAATGCGGATGATGATAATTGATGATGGACTTACGCATTAATAGCCTAACTTAAGAGTTTTCTGTGTTGGTATTTTTTTTTTTATTTTTTTTTTGTTTTTCCCCAATTATGCAAAGACTCATGCTTTATTTTTTCTTGTTCTTATTAGCTTGATTTTTATATTTGGCTGCAGTAGATAATTTGGCATTTTTCTTCTTGGGTTCGTCATCTTCTTCTTCCTCGTCATCAGGATCCTATATTGTAAAGAAACAAATATCTGAGTTCATCTGATTTAATTTTTTTTTGTATCAAAACCTTTTTATTATTGCAAGGATTGATATCCAAAATCAAATAACTCTAACGGTAATTATACATTACAAAAAAATAATCAATAGTGAATAATAACAACTTTGATATCAGAAATACTTTCAAACATCACTGATATATATTTTATGAGCATTCAGCACTTATTTCATGTCCTTTCTGTTCTTGTTTCAATTGACGAAATAGTTTCCCACACCTGCAAAAATGGTAGTTGAAACTAAATTTCGTTTGCCGTTTGACATAAATGTAAATGAGGATACATGAAGAGTGAATAAAAGCAATTGTTTTAAAATAGGTTGGTTTATTGTACAAAAAAATAAAACAACATATATAGGAATGAAAAACACAAGTGCAAAAGGTACATTAAAATTTTTTAACTTCGTAAGCAATCTTCGTTCCTTCCTAAAATTTCTTCTAAGTTTTTTAGACTTTTTTCAAAAGTCATTTATTTTCAAAATAAGAAAATACTTTTAAATGGAAGTTCTATTAATATAAGGAGTTAAAACATTTCACCCTTTCAAAATTTTCTTTTTATATTATTTGAATGATTATTATTATTATTATTATCATTATTATTATTATTATTATTATTATTATTATTTGAATGATTATTATTATTATTACTTTATTATTTTACTTGTCTACTGCTTCATCCACCTTGGCACGTTTGGTGCCATTTTTTCTACCCTCTGCAGAATGTTTTCGTTTCTTTTGAGGTGCCTGAAATTGCATTCCTAATGAATTTACTTAATAATATTACAACACATTGCCTGTTTTGTTTTTTTTTGTCACATTGCTACATAAAAAAAAACCAGAACAAATATACGATTTGTAACAGAAATAAGTGCACAATGCTCATGATGGACAACATTAATCCATATATCTTGTTATGTACGTTAGGTATTTTTTTAACCATTTTTGATTTTTCTTCATCATCTACCTTATTTTCATTTAATAAAATACAGAAATCTTACTACGAAAGATTTAGAAAAAAAAAAAAAACTTTTCCACATAGACCAAGTTTCCTGACGAATTTTTTTGTCTTTTACATGCATCTTTAATCTATTATATACAATTACTATTACTTTTTTCATACCTTTTCATCATCATCATCGTCAATATTTTCATCCTCTAACTCTTCATCCATATCATCAACAAATTCTTCCATATGCGTACCTACAAACAAAATACAATTTCAAATAATTAAATTAAATTATTGAAAGAAAAACTTGTAAAAAAAGTTTCCAATGTAATGAAACTAAATTGTAAATAAATAAATTAAATGTTTCTATGGATAGAAGGCGTCTAAATCGCACTTGTCGCACTTCTCAATGAGTTTTTGTATTATAGAATAATAAATAAATAATCTGCATATTTCTTACCAAGAAGATTGTGTCCTACTATGTGAACTGGCCCACTACCCTTGACCAAGGTAAACGTTACTGGTGGGTCAGGAAAACTAAGATCAAGAATTATTTGCGCTGTCTTTCCCATCTCTAAAAGAGCGATTGGTGTTTTGATAGTTCCTTTGAGTCCCATCGCTTCTACTTGCAGTACATTAAGTTCACCAGGCTTTGCTTCTGGTCCTAACAGTGCCTAGAAAACATCAAAGCAAATATTGTAATATAATGTTTAATATAAATAAAAAAAATTAAATAATAAATAATTAAAAAAGAACAATTTATGTATAAAGAAACATTTAACATTTGCTTGCTAGAAAGAAAAATTATTTTCAAGTAGAAAAAAATGAGAGAAACATCTGCCGAGAATTCATGGTATTATTCATTGAGTTCGACCAAATGCATCTTTTTTCTACCCCATTTCTAAACCCTATTTCTACCTGCATTGACTGAAATTTCCGTTATAATCTCCCTTTCGGTATAATAGGATCCTGCGAGGCTGAAGTGGGGGAAGGACGAAGCCATTGTAAGGAAAAATGGCGCCAAGCATTAAACATTTACATGATCAAATTCGTTATAAAAAAAGTAACTACACAAAATTAATCATTGTATATAGTAAGTTGAAAAAATCTAAATCATTCCAAAGTTTAGTAATAAGATCATTATGCTTTTATCTAGAGATAAGACAATATAAATTATGAAACACCGGTACTTTATAGGTTATGTTTGATCATAGGCACGCATTGCAGTTTTAGCCGCGAAAGAAAGGAACTCTCATGGAGTCTTTCTTTAACTTCCGTGAATTAAAACGAAATTCGATCGTCCGTAAAAAAACAGAATGAATCATAAAGACTAAAATATTCCAAGTATCGACAAAGGATGGAAATATCTCGAAATAAATGCATAGAAAAATTATCTCGAAGAAATGTATATCATCGGAAAGGAAGCGTATTGAATCTGTAAAAAGAAGTTTTTTCTTCTCATGTTCCCTTTATTTTTCTGAATCACCTATGTTGATTCGCGCGTAAAATTCATTGCAGAAGGCGCCTTGTGCGCTTGCAAAAAGAAAGAAAAAAAAAAGTAAAAAAGGTTCGGTATGAAAGATGTCGAATATATTGGCATCGTACTATTTTTTTTACTTCTCTTAGAAGATTCGAGAAACGTGAAAAGAAGGTAAACGCAATTGGCTAAGTAAAAATTGTAGATAATTATAGGAAAAGAATAAAAATAATAAGCACATGTATCACGCAATGTATTTGAAAGAATATTACGAGAAGAAGGCTTGCTGATGGGTCAATTTATTGTTAGGATTAATGATCCTTGAGTAAAGAAAAAATAAATTAGAAAAATGTAATATATCATATAATCGACAAAGACGAACAAATCGGCGTGTGAAATTGCGTTAGTATATTTATGTACGTGTAAAAGTACGCATACACATTATACATATATATGAGTAAGCGAGAGAGATAGATTAGTAAGTAGATGGAGAGAGAGAGGGAGCGAGAAAAAAGAGAGAGAGAGAGAGAGAGAGAGAGAAAAAGAGAAAAAGCATATTGGCTTATTTTATTCGTATCATAAAACCTACCATTTTAATAATAAGCTTCTGATCAGCACCATAATCATGTTGGTTCGTACCATCTGCATCATCATTCTTGTGCTCGGGATCCCAAACTTCGGATGAGTTAGCTCCTTCGAGAACGATTCCTAAAGAACACAAAAATCACGATAGTACACGATGTTCACGAATTTCTTATGCTCGAAATTATTCCGATAACTTCGCACATTATTTTAATGATATTAATATGATAATATATTAAAGATATATAATAAATAACGGTTGATAAACGCGCGGTATTTTATCCGTAGTTTAGGGGGGACAATAGTATATTTCGTCACAATGGCCGAAAGTGTTCGGAAGCCGGCGTCTCGTTGTAATAAGTAAATGTTCATTCGTTAAGTAATCAAAAATGTTTCAAAATGAACTATCAAGTATAATCACGTTGACTCGAGTTTCGATATTTACCGTAAAGATATTCTTCCGCCATGGCGATCAGTTTGATATTAACGGATTCTCAAACAAGACAGATCTGCACGGTGTGAACAACGTAAAAGTTGTGCGTGTTCGATGAGAGCAAAGCGGAGTAATGCTACACTATAAATGGGAGGATGCCGCGCGCGCAACGGTCACTGCGCGAACAATAATTCTATCTCGCACGTGTTGGGCTAACGCGTAGCAAATGACTGTCGCGTAGTCGACCTTGCGCGCCTAGAACCCTGTTCTCAACTCTCATTGGTCAAATCATCTGTCTTACCGTATGCAACGTTGCCATCTCTCCTATAGACTACACACCGAAGGCATCACAAAAGGCGCCTTTTTCTCACAACTTGATCTTATTTTTTTCATTCTTTATTATTTATTTAAGACTTTCTTCGATATTATTTTTGTTAAATTTATTTATCATTGTTGTACGATGATATAAATTTATATGAAGATAGTATACGAAGGAGTTGAAATTTAGTGATTTACGTAACTACGAGATCTAGTCCTCCATTAAATCTGTATTGTAGAGATTTTATGTTCTCTTTGATTTTAGTGATGTTTTTTATATCTGATGATTGGATACGTTTGAATGAATAATAGAAATGTTCAATAATGTTTATAATTAATTCGTATAAGAAGTTAGATGAATAAAAAACGATTGAGAAGAAATTGAATAGATAATCGTAATGCAAGTCATATCACTATTTTTTATAGCTTATATTCAAGTTAAATAAACCATAACCTTATCAATACATTCCAAATGAAATTAGATTAAATATTATGTCAATAAAATCAGATCCTTCATTCAACATTTTTCGGAATTTCATGTATTATTGTACCACTCGTAAAGGTTTTCGATATGTTTTGAAGAAACAATTTGGCAATGTCGTAAAACTTTTCTATTGGTCAAAAATCGTTGTGATTGGTACAAAAGCATGGGACTATTATCGTATTGCACTTGGAGGAGTAGAATAAATAGTGCGTACTTCGTTTGGAAAAATTACACATTGAACATTTAAATATTATATTTTGTATTGTTATCAATAAATAAATGAACGTCCATTAATTGTCTACATCTAGAAATTGTTCGAGAATTTGAGGTAATTTGTTCTATCGACTTTTGGTCAAAATAAAATTTTAATCGTTAAGTCAAAGTACGGCAACGCACTTCCTCAAATGTCTGACGTTGTATACGCGTAATTTACGTTTGTTTGTATTATTTGAAGATAGTTTATATAACATTCGAAAAAAATATACAAACAATTTTATATATGATCAGAGAAAATTAATATGTAGTAAAAAACAAGAAGCTAAGAATCAGGATAATTCGTAGAAATAGTTCCATGAAATACGTGGGACTACTTTTTTCACGTTCTTCTCTTCATTATAACAACCACGTCAGTCAAATTCGTCTCGTTCAATATTTTTATTATTGCAAGTATATACATCTATGATATGTCTATTATACACGTATATATTTCTCATATATATTTTTGAAAATTTGCATTTTTTTGTTCCATTAAAATTCCTTATTGTAAATTTTTAATTGATGATTATTTTTAATATTTGTATAACTTTAAGAAAAAACGATACAGTAACGTACATAGAATTTCGATTTCGAGGTGCTTAGGGTTTATTAAATCATTGTATTCATTGATTTGTGTAGTGCAATAAAATTGTTTTATATTCATTTCAAAACTGTGCGTATGTATTCCTAAAAAATTAAATTTAAACAAATCTTTTAAAGTTAGATAACAAAAATTATTTTGTTTACTCCTTACAGTATTATAAGTTAGGTTAGTATGATTTTTATATTTAAATTATTTATTGTAATAGTTTTAACCTAATTTTTTTAATTATATTAGATTACAGAAACATGAACTCCTTTTCATTACTAAAATTTGGAGCAATTTGTCAGACGGTACATTCAATTGTACCAAGACTTTCAAACTTATTGTCAGGAAGCAATCCGGGGGTAATTGTAAGGAATATGCATCATCTATGTGAAAGAAAAAATGTCAATTTGACACCGCATATACTGGCAAATAACAATAAATCATTACTTTCGCAACCTACTTTACCTATAATTAATTTAGTATCGGGTTTAAAAATAAAAGGACGACTGCAGCTTCGTTGTGAGCATTGCTATTTTGTTGCAAGACGTGAAAGATGGTATGTAATGTGTAGAAAGTCACCTAGGCATAAACAAGTACAAATGAAAAAGAGAGATTATAAAACTTGGATCTTAACGCATGCTACTCAATCAAAGATACGTCCTTGGTAGTTAAATTATGTTACGTAAGGGTGATTATTTATTGCAATAAATTGTATTATAATCAAATATATTCATGTTTTTCAATCTTTATTCCGATGTATATGAAACAAACTTAAATAAATTTTTTGTTCTTCTTATTATCCATTGTTAATGTTTGTTACAATTGACTATATGGAATACAGTATTTTGTTTATAAATAACTAATGCTTTTTCAAAGTTCTAAAAATTTTGTATGTGCAAGTGCATTACGTGGAACTTCTACTTCTTCTGAAAAAATTTTATTAACATCTGTACACTCTGATTGCTGGAATAAGAAGTAAATATATCAATTCATTTCAAGTATATATTTTTAAAAGAAATAATTAATTTCTATTTAGAAAATAAATAATCGAGTACTGCAAGGTGGGCAGGTGGGCATGCATGTAATTCGTGATGGACCGCAAGGGTAGCATTTTGGTACATAAGGAATATGAGGACCACAAGGATTGCAAGGACTGCAAGAAAAGCTTGATATCATAGATGGACTATATAGTACTGGTGCAGAACAAGGTGGTGGTGAACAAACCTGCGTATTTTGACAAGCATAGTTACAATATTCTAAGAAGAATGACGGATGCCAGACCAATTTTGATTTAATATTTACATTGCATGAAAAAATCTTACCCTTATGGGAAATGTATAGCAGGATCGTATACAGGGTGTAGGACATATTGGTTTGCAATCTAGATAGCAGTTTGAAGGGTAGCAAGGAAAATACCTAATAATAATAATAATTATAATAATCATAGTTTAGATCTCCTATTCAAATACATTTTAATATAAAGTATAATATTCTATGCTTACGACATATTGGTGGTAATAAAGTATAGATGTTTGGTAAATTAAAATTTAGTTTCCAAAAAAAAGATATTTTTTTTTTTTAGATTTTTTAAATAATTTTGTTCAAGACATGTTGAATTTAGTGAAATTTTCTACATCTATCAAATAAGTTAGTCATTTGTTTAAAATCGTATTTGAGAAATTGCGATATAATAGAATCTCTATATTATCGACGATAGATGAAACATGAATATATTTTACAAATGATTGGTAAAATAGGAATCTATTCTCTATTTAAAAAACTTTATAATATTTAAAGATTTTTAAATTCATATAAATAATATAATAATACCATAAATATATTAATTTTAATTATTTTTTATACAGTAAAATATATTTCATTAAATAATCTTATACTAATATAAAAGAAAATGTAAGATTTAACGCACGTGGTTTGGTATTGGCAACGTATAAAAAATTATTTCAGAATTATTTGTATTAATTTCGTCCCAAGTGGAAGATGAAAGAATCGTTGATCGTAATTGCCATAAGTCTTGTTGTATCGAAGACATTTTTCCTTCCCAAGCCTAAATAAAAAATTAGCAAAAGATTAAGGGAATAATTTCTAATAGTTTAATGAATTAATTGCAAAAAAAAATCAAACCAACTTGTTTACAATGCATCGCCCATTTATAAATCATTTTATTTTCCATTTTATTACATATTTTTGTTGTCTTTTGAAGAATTTTCATAGCTTTTCTTTTGTGACCTCGAACCATGTAATAGTAAGCTTTTATTAATACGTACCTGAATAAGATCGAAAAAACATTAACGTGAGTACTAATTTATTAAAATTGATTTAACCACTACGCAGATATCTTTCTATTATTTTTTATTATTTTTTATTACCTTGGTATAGCAATTTTCACGATGCTTATCATCTTTTTAATATTTTTAAAAGAAACTTTGATGTCCGCCATAATAAATATAGCTTTGACGTCACGTTTGTTGGCATAATAAACTGAATAGATATAAAAACATAACATCATACACACTAAGAAAAATGATTTTTTTGTATTCTTCGTCCAAATCAACTAAAAAACTAAGAACAAACCGTAAGAAATAAGCAACCCTTCGAGTTTTTTTAAATCTGTTATAGTAGCTGCTACTATATCTTCATCAGTTCTGTCTGTTTTAAAATGTTTTTTTATCCATATTTTAGATGCTTCCCATTCTTGGTTTCTAACACACCTAAATAAAATCAACAGACAATTTTTTTTTAAATTATTCATAAATAAAATCAATGCATTTGCATATGAGATGAAATATTTATACCATAACCACATGGATGTAAAATATCGTCTTTCAGCTTCTGGATTTCGTAAACTAAGCATACTTTCACCTTCTTTTAAATAATATCGTTTGCAATTTTCATAAGAAAGAATCGTAAATCCTATATCCAATTGTACATCCACGCACATTGCGTAATACCACGTACGACCAGATTTGTCTATGTTGTTTTTCGATATAAATTCTATAAACTCAAAGTCATATAATTTTCGGTAGAAAATCTTGAATTAGAAAAAATGAATGTCATAATTGATAACAATCACCTAAGTCTCGTAATATTGAAACCACTTCGGAATGTCGGCAAGAAATCATTAAAATATGAACGAGTTGTGGTAATACTATGCACTGAATATAAGTTAAATCAATGCTTTTTGCTAATTTCATGACAATAAAACCAATATTTATAGCTTTTTTAATTTGTCCTCTGATCCAACGTGAAAAAAAAATACCTGCATAAAGTTCAACTATGACCTTAAGATTTTGATACTCGATTATCCTCGTTTTTTCGTTACATAGATCAATGCTCTCATTCTCCAAAGATATAATTATGTTCCTAAACAATTATTTGTATTTTTGTTATTAGAAAATTTTTTTAAGGATTTTTGTTAATTGAGTTTATGCGTATATGTACTTTATGCGATAAACGTGAGCAGTAATTAGCATGTTGGTGTAACACGTGGAAAGTATGAAAAAATCGTTGTTGGGTCGTGCTGTGTTCAGTGCCCATATTGCTGCTAATCTAGCCTGTTTTTTCATACCTTTAGCCTAATTAAATTGAAATTAGAAAATTTAGGTTGATGGACCAAACTTTCCCCTTGATTATTTTATAAATTAATTATCCCCTTTTGTAAGACAATTATTTTTTCTTTAAATTTGTAAAAGTAAAAATCTAACTACAGTTTAAAATGTTTTGAAACGAAGTAATTAATTTTGGACCCATTGAACTCGATTTATTTTCAATATTGTTGCGTGTCAAATTGTATTTATTTTTATAGGCAAATGAATTAAAATAATTTTACATACGAGTTTTAGAGTAAATTAGTATTGTTACCTTCAACGTGATATACGAGTTCAAAGGGTTAACATTATCTTGAAAATTCTGATCTAGTTTGCATCCATTCATAATATTTGTTTTTTTAATTTTTTTACCTTGTAAACTTCAAACATTTGAGCCAAACAGCATGCCAACTGATTAGTGTATTTTCTAACGTAATCGTCTCCCTTGACTTTACTTTTTCGTTTTCTCGGACAAAATAATAATAATTTCAGTTTCTTCAATTGAAATGCAGTTTTTAAACCGGTTGTTATATTCATACGTGGAAAATTGTAGCCTAATGTTTTCATAGCTTTGTTTAAGCTTTTTTCAGCTTCAGATGTGTGGCCGTATTTGAAGTAACATTTACCTTGCAAAGTTTGAATCTTTGCTGTGAGGTAAAGGAATGTAATCACTTCGTTCTTGTTTGGATCAAACATCTGAACAGGAAATCACATTTGTTCTATTTTGTTTCTTAATATTCTGGTATATGACTAAAAGATTTCTACCTGTTGAAGTATCGTCTCAGCTTCGTTTAACAATTTCCTTGCTTGAGGAATATTTTGATTTTCTATACAAATTTCAGCAAATCTCAATATGGCGATTAAAGTTTTATCATTCCTACCTAAAAAAAAAATCAACCGACGATTAATTTAAATTTGTTTATTAATTATTATTGTTTATTCTTAGATATGTATATATAATTTACCGATTCCATAACAATGTTCAACCATTTGCGTGTAAACCGTTAATAATATCAGATTACATTGACAATTAGTGAAATCAAGATTGGAAAAAGTACGTGTCGGTTTTCTTTCTGGTTTTTTGAAAACATGCAGATAAGATAAATTATTTCTACTAGATAAAACACCTAAAAATATTTAATCATTGATTTTGTATTTGTTTTATTATCACATTTATTTTATTTTATTGCATTACTTTTTATTCTGGGGAATATCCGGGAATTAACGTTATGGAGTTGTCTTAAATTCAATGGATATTCTAAATGTATTGGTACTCCTTCAACTTCGTTAAAAATGTCTGTATCTAATAAATTAGTAAAGTGTCCTTTGCCACAAGCCACGCAACGTCTGGTATTGTGTTGTAGAAATTTCAGTGCTTTGTTGTGCAACTCGATTTTTTGATTCTCCGTGAGTAATCTTCGATAAAAATTATTTTTTACAGTTTTTAATTTTAAATTGTTTGATTTTTTAAAAACATTTTGTTTACCCATATGTGGTGTCTCGAAATAATGCCATCTTGAAACGCATGAGACCACATGATGCATATTTCGGCATATTCGACAATTCTTCTAAATTACAATTAAATTTAAATGAAAAATAAAGAAAAAAAATTGTGAAATATTATAAAAAAAAGAATACCTGAAATTACGAGGTCAATACACCTACATTTAACACCAATATCACCAACATGTTTACGTATGTTTCTGTAGTAAATAATAGGGCCAACGTTTTTACTAAAATCTCCCATACCACATTCAAAAATTCGAATTTCAAAAAGTTTACGTATCGCTAATATCAAAAAATCAATTAAATAAATATAAATCTTACTGTTAAATAATTTATAGAATAATTTGTTCTTACCTACTGCGGTGTCTTTTATGGATATTTCAGTTATGCTTTCCAACATTTTCCGATTAACAAATATACCGAGTACAGAAGCACATTTAAGTAAAAATTGATCAAGGGGTGTTAAGGAATCGAATAATTTTAAAATTATAACTGAAAATAAATCTTAATTATTAATCAGTATTTATAAGTTAACTAAGAAATGACCATGAAAATAAAATGTATTTTATACCGTCCATTGTCATTTCAATATTTGTATTTTTGATCGATAAAGGGTCTAGTGTTTTCGAAAAAGCTACACTTATCTCTTCGTGTTTAGACAAATCAGTATCAGATTGAAGAAGCATCTCATTACTGCTCATTTGCGGTGTATTACTCTAAAGATAAATAATTAAATAAAATTAACGTGATAATTAACGATATAACAATAATTATCAGTAATATTTATTTAAAAAAATAAATAAAATATGCTAACCATGTAACTCGCTTCGTACATTTCCCACCTATCTTCTCGAACAGGACCGGCATTGTTTAATAAATTATTCAAAGTACGTCTGTTGTATGTTCGTAATAAAAGGAATTAAAGTCAATGAATTTTTAGCAATATTTTTATAACGTAGTATTTTACCTTTTTAACATTTCTATAGTGGGTAAAACATATCCCATATTTTCAGCTTCTCTTCTGGTAACTGTTATGATTGCTAAATTACCACTTTGCATTAGGGTCATCAAATAACTTTCGATCCAGCCTGGATTTCCTAAACTTCGATTTTGAATTAATCTAAATTTATCAAATAATTATCATGCATATAAAATTAAATATTTTGGATAATTTAATTAAAACTATTCACTTACTTTTCCAGTTCTGGAGATATGCCAATTACATTGAGTACTTGACAAACAATACCAATATGATACCATTTGTCGATACCTTGAAGTTCCATGATCTATCATTTTTTAATCAAATCAAAAAAGTACCAAATGTAATTGTCAAACTTTCATTTTAAATTAAAGGATATTTAATTGTTAACAGCATTTAACATACATATGCTCTTTCCAATAATGTATGATTAAGCCTGTATTCCGCATAAACTTTTCTACCAACGCTTATGATGAACAAAAACATATTGGTTTTAATGAAAATATCGAAAAAGTTCAAGGACTCTTTATCGGCGTATTCAACATCATCAATGATGATGACCCAAAATTTGGAAAAACATTTTTTCGTTAGGTTTATCAAGAGTTGCTCAAGTATTTTTTGTTTTTCTAATTCCATAAACGCTCTGTATTGTTTGGTCATTGGGAAAGAAACGTTGAAGACTTGATTCAAGGCACAGAGATATTCAGGATGACGTATGTTGCCTAATAAACGAATTAATTTTTCTTCTCGATCCTTCGGCGTTGACGTTAATGAGAATTTTAATGGTAAGGAAAATATTAGGTGAACTAAAGTGTACGGGTTCTGTTCTAAAAAGATGTTCCCTTATTTTTATACCTTTTTTTACTTTAAAAAATATATTATTTTAAAAGAGAGAGAAAACTTTATGATCAACCTGTATATCTGTTGAAACAAGGGAAATGTAATTCGATGGGATACCACTTGGTATGTTCAATACCATTTCGTCTAACAGTCTCGTTTTTCCTATCCTAGGTTCTCCTCTATAATTAAATAATTATAGTCTATCATAAAATCCATTTTTTAAAATGTGAAACATTTATTTTTAGCCAAACCTTATAATTAATGTATTATATTGTGGTTTATTTGATACATCATTTTCAAAGTGAACATACTCCACTAAATTGGCTAACAAGTGTCGAAAAATGTTCATTTCATTATCCCTACCAAGCAAAGGATATTTACGCCAAACCAATTCCGATACTTTGTATCTACAATCGATTCTTTATTAAATTAAATGAAACTAAGTGTTAAATTAATTGAATATGTTTAATTTTACTTGACTTGTTCCTCAAACTCGTAAACTGGACCAACATCGGTTATTCCTTTAAAATATTTCGGTTCTTGTAATTTGAAATGGCTAACTTCTAATCGTGAATGAAGAAAACTTTCTCTGTCACAGATAACCTGTTCAATTTATTTTCAATCGAATATAATAAAAGTTGTATAAACAGGAAATTGGATAATTATGTTGTAGGATTCGTGAAAAAGTTGAGTTGTCGGGTTGACTCGAAACCGAGTTTTTTGGTTTTCGGGCGATTTTTTTAACCTTTGAGCTATATAAGAGCCTTATATCAACGATTTTACAAATGCCTAATTTATTTGGAACTATTTTTAGAAATTTAACCTTGTTATTGTAACCCATCATAAGTCGAGCTGCTTTATTCACTGTCATTCCTATAACCGTGTACTCTCTTCTCAAAATATGACCAACAACCCCACAATATGTCATCCCAGTTGTAACGCCAACGGTAACGCTAGTAATGCATGCTAACTCTTTCAAACCTATTCGCAATCTGTATGCACATTTTAAACCTATTTGTGATTCAAGTTCATGTTTGTCACCTCGTAAACCAAAAACGCAAAGAAATGTTAGATCCTTATCAAAGAGCGACGTTTTGTTGACACATCCTTGCATCCTATCGACTATCCTTCATCATATCATCATATTATCAAAATCAATCAAACTTTTATTGAAATAATATTTGCATATAATTGAGAATTCTGTAAAGGAATACCTGCAAACGAGTTTATAAGCTGCGTCGACCAATTTGATCAATCGTCTTTTTCTCATTTCACTGATAACTGCATTAACAAATACTATAACAACCTGTCTCATTTCTGTTAAATATTCTAATGGTTCATCCATTTCAACTGAACGAATTACCGGTTTTAACATGTAACTTCTCAAAGCATCTTTCAATTGAGCTTTCGATATTTCTATTATTTTTGGTCGTACTGAAAAATATAAATCATTCATCCTTATTACGAATTTGTTACTAATAATGCATTACGATTTCGTGTTAAGTATAATTATTTCACTAACAACTAAAGTCAATCATTTCCATATTTTTAGAGTACATTAAAGAGCTTGAAAGATTCATTAACACTGTTGTACTATTCATAAACAATTTTTCTGTAAATGCAGTTGATGATTCCTGAGAAGACGTTTCTTTTTCGTGAATATCTATGAATTTTTTAATCCCAAATGTTTTTTATTTTAATTTTTTGTATACATAAAACGTAAGGAATTGCTTGGTGATAATTTTACCATCGTCATATGTGTAAGGGCTTTTCAAAGTATACCACATTGTAGAACAAGCTATAATAAGTGTATGCAAACCATCCGGAAGTGTTTCATAAACGTATTCGATTGGATTTACCCATTGCCAAGCGCTGAGTGCTACTAAAATGTCGCCACCTCTAAATAAATTTTAAATTAATATTTATTCGATTTTGTGATAAAATCTTTTATATCAATAATTATGAAAATGGATTAAAGTTACAAAATTTGAATATTTGATTTTATGATTTATTTCACACGCACACACATTATAATTATTTATATTATAAAATAAATCACATAAAATAAATGTTTTTTATTTTTTAACTTATAGTCCATTGTCATAATTACTGGACCATTTGTGAATTAATGTTATTTGTTATATACTTGCAAAGTCGTTCAGCATTTTTAACTTCCCAAACAGGTTTACCAATGATTATGTAATGTGACATTTTTTTAGGATCACCGATACATGTGAAATATGTTTTACCAGAAGCTATTGCTAGTTTAACTGTTTAAAAATATATCAATAATATCATCAAGAATTAAAAATACGAATTTTAAGATAAAACATGACTTATTGTTCGAATAAATAAAAAAATTGAATATTGAAACCTCTTAGAGTGATACCAACGTCAGTTTCATAAGCCCCAAAATGTTTTTGTATAATGCATGCTGTTTGAATTGCTATAGTAGTTAAATCACGCATGTTAGCATTATCTTTAAGTTTCCACATGACGATAAATGCATCCCCAGAAAATTTTAATAAATCACCGTTATGCGATAAAATTTCTTGAACCATTGCACCGATGTAACTGTTCAATATCTCGGTCAATTTCGATGCACCACCTTTACCTGTTCTCGTATATTTTTCAGCAAAATCAGTAAATCCTACATGAAAACGTAATCAAGTTATTTACAGTAAAATCATAAATTGTTAATTAATTTTTATTTGTCTACCTGATATATCACCGAGCATTAGGGTTGTCAAATATTTTCTTATTTCATAATTGTTATAATCATCAAGAATCTCATCGGGGCACATCGATGCAAAAATTCTCGTGTGATTTTCTATCTTTAGAACTATGTTATTGTGATCTATGATTCGTCTTTCTTTAGAATCTTCGATATAAATTTAAATATAAATATAATTAACCTCTATTATTAATCAATCTTTTTTTATAAAATAAAACTTTATTTCTCTATGATATATACCACTTTGAACAGAACCCGTATAAAGCACATTAAACTGATTATCCATCATCCTATATTATACTTAAATATAATAATCCTAATGACCATAATCGATCGAAAAATTATTATGAAAATATTAATATTAAACTACACGCGTACACTCGATGTGAATATTATTTTACATCTAACTTCATAGATCTTCGAATAAATCTTTCAAATATTTTTTATCCAAAAAATAGGATTTGAAATAAAGGGTTTTAAATTATAACAACAATTACAACAGTGTACTGAGTCAAAACAAAAAAGAAAATAATTTATTTTATGATTTATACTCTATAATATAAATCACATTTTAATATAAAATTAAATATATATATATATAAAATAAATTTTTCCAAATTATTTTTAAAGTCCACTGTCATAATTTTTGGTTAGGATTTTGACGAATAAACAAATAATGATTATTTGTGGATGCACTTTTTGTTTTATTTTACCATCTGATTTACCAGAAAAGGTTCGGATAGGAGAACGAGTTTAGCGTCAACAATGAATACACTCGTCGGACAATAGACAATATGTGTTTATTTAATAGTCTCGCTATATATAGATACTTAATATGACTTGTCACTCTAACAGATCGCTGCCTACAACGTGACGGCCGAATTTTATTGTGCCTGGCCCTACTAGTCCTTATTGTGCTTGAATCTATTATGACGGGTCGACGTCTTCTCTCTTTGGTTTATACTTAATTTTTTTAATTTTTTTCTTTTCCCCTTTTCTTATTCTCTCTTATTTCACTTTTTGTTGTTGTTATCTTTAATTATTTATTTAATTATTTTTATTTATTTCCCCCATATCGTCTGCTGTCTCTCCTTTTCTGTCGTTTCCATTTTCTCTCTATTTCATTTTCACTTTCGCATACTCTCGCACACACACACATACTTTCTCTCTCTCTCTCTCTCTCTCTCTCTCTCTCTCTCTCACATTCATGTTTTTTTTCTATCTCTACTAACAAATTGGATTATACTCTCTATCGTAAAAGACGTCGCGATATAATTTACGAAAGTTCACGACTCACAGAAATTCGTTCCTGCGCACTAATCAGAATTTATTTTCTTCTTTCAACAATACATTCATGTATACACGTATATATACGCGCACACACACAAACATACACATATGTTTATATAAATATGAAAATATGTGTGCATGTATATACACGCATAGTTTGAAGATAACATCATTTTTTTCTGTCATGTTTTATCATTTTTATTATTATTATTATTATTATTATTATTATTATTATTATTACTTTTTATTTTTATTTTTATTCTGGAGTGTGTACAGGGACGAAAATCTCGCAATAATAATCTCTTCATTCTTTCACATAATATTTTGCGAAGGACATTCGCCCGCGTTAATGGTCGATGATTCGTTTTCTTATTTTTGTTGTAATTTTTCTTTTCGCTTTGTTTGATAAAACAGAAAAAAATGTTTCTCGATAACCGTAACCGTGCGCTTACGCCTTAACGCTTATTTAACGTACAACATATTTTTATACATATTTATTATTATTATTATTCCTTATATTATATACAGTGGCTTTCTCGGAGTTCACTGTTATTTTCTGTTTAAACATTTTTAGTTTAAATACATACATGATGGTTTTTAATGCGCGTTGCGAGCGCACGGTAAATTATTCGACGCACGGGCGAAAACGAGCGAGTCAAGAATGGAACTTCGACTCTCTATATATTTTATATTATTATTTTATTATTTATTTATTCCATTCTACACACACTTTCTTATTTATTTATTTATTTATTAATTTTAAATTAATTTTCTTTTGTTCTCTTTCTTTATTTCATTCCTTTTTCATTTTTTTATTTTATTTCATTTACTACCAAAGGTATTTCGTGAATTTAATTAATTTGAAGGATCTCGAAAATAATTTAAAAATTGCATAATATTCAAAAAATCGTCAAATTAAAAATCAACACGAAGATAAACCGAACGCATCCATTCGTACGCTCGCTCGCTTGCTTGCTTATTTTTTCTTCAAGCGAAGACAACAGGATGTATTTTTAGTATATATGTGAGTGTATGGTTTGTCCTTTGTTTATTTTATTTATTTATTTAATTATTATTATTTTTATTCTCTCTCCCTTTCTCTCTCTCTCTCTCTCTCTCTCTCCTTTCTAAACTTGTTTTTGTTATTCGTTTTTAAAAGCGAGATGTGAATTTTTGTTAGAAAGAACGATATTTTTATTTACTTGAAATATAATCAGACAGACGAGAACAATACGCGCAATTATTTTCATCAAGAGATTTATTATTTATTTTTCTTTAACGCGACAATTTTTATCGTTCTTTTCTTTCGTGCCTTTTTTTTTTGTTCCTCTCCACTTCTCTTCTTTCTCATCTTTCACTTTTTTTTAAGGGGTTATTTTTTCTTTTTCTACACTTTTTTTTTTTCTTTTGCTTCTTTACGACAAACGTGACTCATTATTATAATGGCACACAGCATGGCAGTTTGCAACAATGTAGTACTTACTTCAATGAACTCTTTTTTCGTTTTTATTTTATTTTATTTTATTTTATCCTTTTTTTTTTTTTGTAAATATCATTTTTTTTTTCTTATCTTTTCATTTTAATATAGCTTATTCATTTTTTTTTCCTTAAGCTTAAACTCGATTAAACTTACTTCCTAGCCCCGTTCTGCGCTTTCCACCCTTATGCGATTTCTTTTTTCTTTTATCCCATTCGTTATCATCATCGATCGTCGAGTTCAAGATCTTCATTTCGATCGAATTTTTATTTGGTTTTAAATTCTTTTTTTTTTCGCGAAAATCTCGACGATCTAGGATCGACCGTCATTCCTGCCTTTTTTTTTCTTTTTTTTTTTTTATTCTGCACATCCACGTGTAGACGAGTTCAATTTAAGCGTCGCAAGTAACTAGGCGAAAAAACACGACCCGATGAATGTAATATTTAATCTTCTTACTCTTCTCATCTTCATCTTTCTTTATCTTTTCAATAATACTTGCCACTTCGTATTAATTATTCCATTTTTCTTTCATTCACAATCAATCTCTCTCTTTCTCTCAAACTTTCACATGCGCACGTGTCATCCTTCGATATTTTTTAATTTATGCACACCACCACGAATGTCGCATTATTATTATTCGCTTAAATATATACACGCGATTGAAAGTTGTATTGCATTATTTTTATTTTTTTAATTTTATATCAATAATATTATTAATAATAATAATAATAATAATAATAATAATAATAATAATAATAATAATAAT